ATTTAAAAAAAAAAATATTCACAATTCGTAGAACGCATTGCAGAAGTGTTCAATATCGCAGAAGAAGGAATTAAATCTGCTTTTGGTTATGCAAAAAAAACCTTTTTTTTCATAAAATATCACATGCAGCTAAAAAAACAAGCACAACACTTCAATTTTAATCCAGAAAAAGCTTACCACTTCTCTGGCGCAATCTCAGAGTCGAATCAAGTACATATACTGACCGTGAGTAAAAGAAATATTTTTTTTTTAAGCTTGCACACATTTTTTTTTTTATTTCGATGCAAATGCCTACACTCAAATAATACGTACATTTATTCAGTGTAAAATGCATTTTTCGGGGCATTTAAATTAGTAGGTATTTAAGTTAAAATTAAATCAGCTTTTGCGAACATTACGTTATGAAAAAAGTACCATTATTTGCAATTGATCTACTCTTCAACAGCTACACCAATTGCTGAATGAATGCACTCTTCTTTGTTGATTAGATGACAAGTCTTGTTTACCAATGACATCAGTTGGTTCACATCGTTCGCCCAATTGTTCAATATATCGGAAGCACTCTTCTTGGTGGTGAAATAAACAATTCCCACGGGCCGATCAATTTTAACGCGTATGGTATCGCTATTCGCTAATTTTGAAAGATATTCTTCGCAGCGATTTGAAGGTAAGTTCAGTAACTCACTCATGCGTTGAAGGTGAATGCGCGAGTAGTACATTGCGATAATGCGAATGTTCTATAAGCAACAAAATTAGGTTGAATACAAAGTGTGAATTTATGAATGTAAAACTCTTACGTGCTCCATAAGACGATCCTTCAGTTCAGCAATACATTTGCGACCATGTTTTGTGCTGTCCACAAACATTTCATTCTCTGCTAATACGCTGCCAAAATCAGCGTTGAATGTATCGAAATTTATAAGCTCTTTTGACATGAACAAGCGTAATATTTCACTGAAATATTTAAAATAAAATAATATGTACTGTTTTAGTTTTAACAATGTTTTTTTGCCAACTTACCGGTAGGCGGGTATGTCTTCAAGTTTCTTATTTTTCGACAAATGCGCCATCATATCACTTTGTTCGTTGTCATACGGCGCTAGTACACAATATAGCACAGCACAAATGAGTTTCTCCTTTTGTTCCTTTTCTTGTTCGGGAGTCAATTCTACCGTCGTCAAGGCAGCGGCTGCTACAGCAGCAGCCTTGAGTTCATCTTCGCGCTTCTTTTTATCTTCCTCACTCAATTTCTTCTTCTCTTCTTCAGTCAGATCTGGCACTGCAGGTGCTGGACGCGGTGGTTCAGCGATTGCCTGATAATGGCGCGAGGTCTTTAAGAATGAAGTGTCGCGGTCTAACCGAATCATTAAGTTGTAGAATTTTAACTTTAAGTCATGCTGTGCTGGGTCATCGAAGAATTTTATGCTTATCTTCTTGGCTATGATTTGTGTTGATACAAAGTCTTCTTTTAGTAGACAAAGCCTCATTTGTTCTAAAATCAATTCAACTTTTTCGCGCTTATCCATTGAACCATATGTTTCGACTTGTAGTTCTTCCATAACAGAGGCAGCGCCAGCAATGTCGCCATCGGCCTCCTTGATATCAGCCAAAATTTTTGTTAAACGGGCGCGTTCGATTTCTACATAAATTTTGCCTTCAGTGACTGTCCGCAATGTGTCAATTAGCTTCAATTTAGTGGCCTTGTCAGGCGTTTTATCTACATAAGTGCAGCATTCTTGTATCATCTTTGATACAGCTTGTTTCAACTGCGAACGCCGGCGCGCTAACAATGAAACATATTCGTTCAAAGCATTCCAGTTTTGAGCCTCGAAGCAGATCTGGCAAATTGCGACTAGTACGCGTGAGCAAGAGACCATATCAGAGCCCTGATGAAATAAATGAATGAACTCTTGGTCTGTCAAATATTATACATATCTGACTACATTATTTGGTAGTGCACTTTAGCGGATCATCAGGAGGGGTCTCAATCAACTCGTTTTAAGGCCAATAACAATAATCCGAAAGAGCAAATAAACGTTTTTAATTTATTCGAAACACTTTGCGTACCTTCTTTTGATGAATTTCACGCAAAGGTGTTCAAAACCGAGTCTATTGATACCCCTCTCGACTTTTTTGATTGAATTTTGGGCAGGCTCCGCAAAGTGCATTTGTACCCATTAATTATTTACCAAACGTGATTGCTTTTCCAGCTGCAACAGCAACTCTATAGCATCATGGAAAGCCTCAGGATTATTTTTGGCCATATCTTTGGCTAAAGGAATTTTCTCATCACAGGCAGGTGAATAATCCACCTCCATTTTGGAGATGCGACCGCCTTCAAACAAGTAATTATCCATTTTACAGTGCTTTTTTAACTAAAATAAAAAAATGGAAACAAACGATTATGCAGGCGAAAGTGGCGAGAGAAAACAATTGGACAAGTTGACGTCCCACTGAAATCGAAAGGTTGAGTACACTTCATTTGAAAAATTTACCGCGTATGAAAGATCTTAATGCAATGTCTTTCCTAGACCTGATGTTTTCCTTCGCTAGTTAAAATAAATTGAACTTATTCAATTTAAAATTTAGAATAATAGTGAAAATGCGGCTACAAGCAGACTTCGGATAATTCTGCTTACTAATCAATTAAGTTGGCTGCGATTGTGCAATCTGCGTGCTGTCAATGAAACTGTGAACAGGGTGGTAGAATGCAAATTGGAAGAAATAAATACGGTATGCTAAATGTTTAATTATTTTGATACAAGTAACAGTTGCAAAACATAATAAAAATATTTTTTCGCCTTATAGTAAAAAATTAAAAATTCAGCGTAATAAATTTTAGTGTATGCATTTATTTTTAGGGGGTTACAATATGAACACTAAACACACCATTTTACCCAAACGTCAAAACCAATTGTCTTTTGTTCGGCAATCGCATTTTGCGCCCGAAATTTTGTATCAACGTTGTGGCTTATTTATTTTCAGTTTAATGCAATTTTCGGGTGAAATATAAGGAGAAATCTATAACAAAGTAAATCAATTTTGTTTACGCGTTAATAGCAAACAGCAGGAATCTAGCCAATACTCGATACAAGCTGGTAATTTAGAACTTTTGGTAAGAAGCAAATCGCAAGAACTCTGCGAGAGCAATACATCTCTGTAATCAAGCTCCACATTTACCGCCATGGCGCATATACATGACTTCGAGGAACTAGTATTGGATGCACTTGAAGTAGTGGAATTTAAATTGAGTGAGTATAGCAGATTTTAGACGCATCCAAATGAAGCTAATGAAACCCACGTGCAAATTTTAGTACGACGCAAACAAGACTTGGAAGATGATAGTCTTGTATTCCACCCCCAGATGGCACATCAAATATTTGGCGAATCGGAGAGCATATTCGGTTATAAGGACTTGCTTGTGCGAATACTATACACAGCAGGACCACTGCACATTTACATTGGCATCGAATATAGCAGCCGGGTTGATGAGCTATCAGGCGGGGCATTAAAAGCGGATAATGTCGTGAAAACAATAGCAGAGAAGTTGCCTGACGGCTGTTTCTTCATCAATATGGATGAGTTTTTAAAGACACTCGACAAAGCAGATAAATTTCAACCTTTCGGCGAGAAGTTGTCTGAACACAAAGTAAGCGATGCGCAAGGAAAGGAGCGTTTGTTCGAAATATATCACAGTGATTATAAAGCACCGGCATTCTTGAAATTCTTCGGACGTTTACAAACCTTCATACTCTGGTTTGTTGATGCAGCGTCCTATATTGATGTGGATGATACGCAGTGGAGTTTCTTTATTTGGTATGTAGTAATATGGATAAACTGAAATCGCTTATATTTATAATAAACCCTAATTATTTTTCGTTCATAGCTATGAGAAGTATAAAAATGATAATGGCGACTACCAGTACGCCACCGCTGGCTACACCACTGTATACGAGTACTATGCATATCCGCAACATATACGGCCACGCATCAGTCAAGTTCTGGTGCTACCACCATTCCAAAAGCTCAGCATTGGCACGCGATTCGTTGAAAGTATTTATAAACATTACCAGTCACAAAAAAATGTTATTGATATGACAGTGGAAGACCCATCCGATGATTTTCAGCGTTTACGCAATTTTGTAGATGCACGTTTATGCATGAGATTGAAAAGCTTTGCACCCGATGAAATTAAAAAGGGTTTCAGCAAAGAAATGGTGCGAGAAGCGCGCGAAACACACAAGGTACTACTGCTACAATTGCTTATCTTACGTTGGAATAAAGTTTATTTCAAATTCTTTTTTACAGTTGAATCCACGTCAGTGTCGGCGCGTCTATGAAATACTCCGCCTTTATTATACGAATGTAAACGATAAAAATGACTATTATGCCTACCGCTTGGATGTAAAGCGACGTTTGAATGCTATACATTATAAGCAGTTGAATGATATCAAGAAAATGGAAAAGGCAAATGTGGATACCGAATGGTTGAGAGCGCGCTTGCCTACACAAAGTCAACGCATCGAACAATTACAAGAGGAGTATGAGCAAGTAGAGAGTGCTTATAGGCAGATTGTTGAAAAGCTGCGTGCGAATTAGAGTTACATAATATTTGTGTTTTATTATTCATTTTATTGTCAATGTTGATATCAATCAGTTAATTGTCCAACATGTCCTTCATTTTGGTAACACACTCACTTTTTTATGTAATAAAATTTAAATTATTGAAAGTAAACATGTTAAACGATGGTTTATTTAATTTTTTAATATTTTAAGTTGGAATTTCGGATATTGTACAAGTTAAAATTTCACTTTTGCGGATTACGCCATTTCCATATACCTTTTTCCTTTAACACGATAGTAATACATACAGGGTTTCCCCGATCAAGTATTATCACTCCCGCAGGCATGTGTAACTAAATTATTATTTGAAAGCTGTATACAAATTTACCTCAGTACACCTCAGTAGAAGTACAAAAACCATTTGTAGTGTTGATTAATTTATTACTTCGAAATTCGAATATACACACATACTACTAAATTTATAAATGTTTTATATAAAATGATTTATCTATCGACTAGCTGCATATAGTTATGTGTGTATGTATGTAAATGGTTATCTAACATTCACGTCTTTTATCAATTTTTGAGACGATCTAGCGCTTGAATTTCAAGTAAGGAGGCAGGATATATTTTCTTGATACTTAGGATATAGGACAAGGGGTGGGTTGTTATATAATTTGAGCGAATTCAGGTAAAGTTACTCACTAGTGACGAAAATAACATAAATGGAACCATAAACATCAGCAGTACTAATCCATATAAGAGCTATGAACTATGGAAGTTGTATAATAAATGTATGTATGTACGTACGCAATTGTATTAGTTACACGCACCTTCCATTGAGCCCTCTTTCGGGTTTAGAAATTATTGAAGCTTGCACTTTATTGCTTTTTTATTTTAAGTTATGTGTACGCGTTTTATTAAATAAATTATGCGTAAATAAATATTGCCTGCGACTAGCCTAACATGAGCCATAGACCTCCATCCATTTTTCGAAACGTGAAACATCATCAGCCGTTACAGATTGTTTAGTTCGCTCCATGGCTTCTTGGAAATCCTGCAATGTTATGGGTTGATCAATGTCCTCGCGTCGTATTTCCTTGATTTCGGATGGCGAACGGCCGGCTATGAGGCGACGCATTGCCATCATGGCGGCATCGCGACATACATTGCTTATGTCCGAACCGGAATAACCTTTTAGCTGATCGCCAATGAGATTCGTGTCAAGATTGGGTGAAAGACGTACATCTTTGAGACAAAGTTTAAGTAGGGCGGAGCGAGTTTCTTCTGCGGAAAAGAAAAAAGTTAAAAAAAATTAATTAGTACTAAAAATATTAAAAAAAAGTTTGAATGTAAAATAAGTAAAAAAAACAGTAAAATTTTTTGCATATTTGGGTGGTCCTTAAAACATCAAATTTTTGTTCTACATATATAAAAAATCTTAAAACATCAACGAAAATTAAAAAAAAATAGGCGTCACTCCGGAATTAAGAAAAATTTTAATTTTTTTCCAATTCGAAATATATTTCAAAACTGATAAAAACAATTAACACTTTTTTCGGATCTCAATTCCACCGAAAAATATTTAACTTGTTCCTACATATTACACTATATTACAATATCGACTTTTGTGACACTTTTCTGACAACAACGGTTATTTTAAAAACAAAAGCTCTTATTTAAGAAAAAAGAGCTTTAAGTAAGAAAAAGGTTTGTCCAATATATTGGACGATTGTACTGAAAGTGTTAAACTGGTTCTCATATAAATTCATAAACTAGGCAAATTTTTGCTGGTTAAAGTCGCAATTTTGTCGAACTTTTCCGATTTTTTTAAATACATATGTAATTAAATTTTTTCAAATCAATCCTGGGAGCGACCTCTAATTTTTTTTACTTTTGAAATTTTTGTGCGGATGACTTTATTTTGTACGTGGAACATTATACCCATGATGTTTATATTTTAGGAAACACCCTAGTATATACATATGTTTAAAAAATTAAATGTTTTAAATGAACTTTAACGCGGAATTGAGTGAATATTGACTTGAATGTTTTTTTATTCCTCTGACTACATTTTTAACTTTTTTTTTAGCTTTTGGGCTACTTTAGGGACCCAATAGATTTAGTTTTAAATTTTTAACTATTGTTTAGATACCCTGAAAATTTAAAAAAGCTATAAATTTTAGCTTTTTTAAGGTTTTGAAAGGCTTTAAAGCTCGCACCCGAAACTGTTTTAATATTTTAAGAACCACCGTATAAAACATGTTATTAAAAAATTTAATATTTTAATAAAAGTTGAATTTAACTGAAGAATTGCGTGAATGTTAACTTGAGATCTTATTTTATTTCTCAATCTTAAACTTGATCTTTATATTAATTTTGATTTCAATCTTAATCTTAATCTCAATCTTAATTTAATTTTAAATTTAAATTTTGATTTTAATCCTAATCTCATTCTTAATTTTATTCTTATTCTTAACCTTAATCTCATCCTTAGTCTTGATCTTAATCTAAATCTTTATCTTAATTTTAATCTTAATCCTAGTCCCAATTTTAACCTTAACCGTAACCTTAATCCTTATTCTTAATCTTATTCTTATTTTTAAACTTAACCTCATTCTTAATCTTATTCTTAATCGCGCCCAACCATTTAGAGCCCAACGAAAATTTATGTAAACAGCCTCTTTTCCCCCTTCGACTCACCATTTGGAAGTGCAATATAGATCCTTTTCTCGAATCGTCGCCTAAAAGCCTCATCAATGTCCCACGGATGATTTGTCGCCGCCAAAACCATAATGATCTTATCTTCCTGCAGAGTCGCATTCAATCCATCCATCTGTATTAGCAGCTCGGCTTTAAAGCGCCGACTTGCCTCATGTTCGGAATCACTGCCACGCGATGTACACAACGCATCGATTTCGTCGAAGAATATTGTGCTCGGCGCATAAAAGCGCGCCATTTCAAACAATAAGCGCACCAGCTTCTCGCTTTCGCCACGATACTTTGAGGTTAGCGTGGCTGAAGAGACGTTGAAGAAAGTGGTGCCACATTCGGTGGCCACCGCCTTGGCTAGCATGGTCTTGCCAGTGCCCGGTGCGCCTACCATCAAAACACCACGCCATGGGCGTCGTATGCCCTTGAAGAAGTCGGGCATAATTATTGGTAAAACGACAGCTTCCTGTAGTATGGCCTTGGCTTCATTTAGCCCTGCCACATCGCACCACTTGACGCCGGGATTACGCTGCAATATGTCCTTTTCGAGCGAATCCACCAAGTGCGTCTCATAGCCGATGGCCGAAAATACTTTCGTTTTTGTTTTCGGCGAACTTTTCGGCGTATTCTGCGATGTGGAGTTCTCCTCCAAAGATGTGATTTCCTGATCATCTGAATTGGAGTTCTCATCAATCGAATTCTTCTTAGGCTTGTCTTTGAATTTGATTTGTGTGGTAAGTTTGCGTGCACGTATGCGCTCTACGCTACGGCTTTTGCGTGTTGCCGCCATGGCTGAGGCCTTAATGCTGCGCGAACTGCGTCCCTTGTCGCTGCCTAGGCTGCCGCCCACGTTGTGCGCGCTGCCATGATGACTCAAATTTATGGAAGGCAGTGTGGGCTGTAGTTCAGGATCGCGTGATCGGCGCAGTGACGAGATCCAACGGTTGTCATTGTGATTCGGGAATTGTATGTGCGTATTATTGCCTGTGTTGCCGCTGCTGCCACCTACACCACCATTCGCATTTTGATAAAGTGGATTTGTGGAGCCCGTAGTGGGCGGCAAGTTTGTATTGGGCCTTGGCTGTGGGGGCACTTCTGGAGGAAAGTTATAACAGGGGTGTGACATATTATTTGCTGCATCATTTAACGTACTTACATATATTTCTATAATAATTACCTTGCGTAGGTATACGCGTCTTTCGTAGTCCTCCCGCTGCCATACCACCACCAGCGCCCAGTGTGGCCGAGCTACCTGGTGAAAGACCGCTTAAAGTGGTTGTGCGTGTGGTCTCGGTTTTTTTGCCATTACCAGTACGTGTCGGCCTGTGCGTGGTTGTGATCTTAGTAAAGGCGAATGGTGGATATTGATCCAGTATCAATGAGTCCATCATCCGTGCCACATGTGAGAGCCCCGTTGGCGGTGTTGTGGAGGTACTGTGTAACGGTAAAAAGAAAAGGACATAGATAGAGTTTTGATATGAAACAAAATGTGAATAAAAGGAATAACAAGGCCATGCGTTGGGGATCATCGAACATCTAAAGCAACCTGTTAAAGTTAAATACAAGTGGCTTGTGACCCGTCACGCAGAAACTTTAAACCAATGATAATGCCTAAATACCTAAACCAATGGGTGGACAACGAGAGCGATGAATAAGTGACACAAATTCGCAAAGGAGAGAGGCAATTGGCGAAGTTTTTTGATCTCGGCCCAAACCGACAAATGGTTGTAGTGCCAAATAAGAAAAAGAAGGTGGGAAACTGTGCTCTTGAAAGTTACGCACATCGTACGGATGTCCTTCGAAACTACATATTAAGTTATTGTAGCTAGTAGTAAAAAATGTTAATATTTAAAAAAAAATTGTTTGTCTTCCAGTTCTAGAACCCCATATAGAGAATATTATTCCGACGTATGTAGTTGAGTATTTAGATACGCGTATTACTAACCGGTAGAATTCAGTTTCGATTTCGAACCTCCGAGTACATTTCTTAAAAAAGCTTCTCACAAAAACTATTTGGCGTTCAGAGTTGACGTTAGACGTTGGAATATGTCAAACACTCAGTTATATCAAAAAACGCCAAATACGAGGGTTGTTTCCAGGGTTCTGGGAATTGTACTACGTATAACATATATGTAATACAATATGATCGCAATGAGTTTTTAATTCGCAATCAAGGAAAGACAGCTTGAGAAAATGTTTGTGATTGTAGAAATATAGGTACATGTATATTTTTATAAACTACTGCATAGAATGAAGTGCCATATCGTAACAGGCGCGGTTCAGGGAATTCCACAAACAATCACAACTTTGTATATATGTACTATAACTACGCAGAGGTTATAGGAATGTTATTGGTGCCAGACATGTCTTGACATGTACAATATTGTTCAGTCTGATTTAGCTGCTCGACTGATATAGACGCGTTTTCATAGCACCGCCAGAAAAACGAAGGATGTTTTGAACGATTTACGATGGGAATAGCTTTCGCAGCCACCTTTTTCCCCAGATCTTCCTTTCCAGAAACCTTTCGATTTGAAAGTTTAAATGACGTTAAGCATGCCATAAATAGATGCATTGGGGAGACACCGAAAAAGTTCTTTGAAGACGGCTTTGAAAAATTAGTTTATCGTTGGGATAAATGTATTCAGTTAAATGGAGTTTATGTTGAAAAACTGCAATGTAATAGTTATGAAAATTAACAAAATAATAAAAAGTACAGCTAAATTCCCAGATGTTTGGAAACATCCCTCGTATTTTTCAATTTGTAAACCGCTGCTGTCCGATTTGATGGGACAAAGCTGTCGCTAAGTACATTATTTTTAAATAAATATGTTTGCTAATCTTACACATATATTTATAAATACATACGTACATACGTCAATAAAAGCCAATGAACTTGCTGGAATGAACTGTTAAAGTGCCTATTAAAAAATAATGAATCAATTTTAGCGTAATAAAAAATTATAACCATTTGCAAGAGTGATAATCATATGTGCGTCCGGACTCATGCTTCACGTGCATTTTTACGTACATACATACGTAAACATATATCTACATACGTATGTAAGTTGAGGACTGAAATATGTATATACATATATGCATAATAGAAATCCATGTATAGTATGTACGTATGTATGTATATACAAAACTGTACTATTAAATAAATATTTATGTGCCTACAAACATACACTACATATGTATGCACATATGTCTGTACCTAGGATCATTTCATACTAAGGTCAAGAGTAGTTTTCAACTTTTATGCAAATAAAAAAAAAATATTGAAACAATTTGCACGCAAACATTTTATGTGTTTACCCGTGTGTGTGTGTGTATAATATATAGAGACACATACATACATACATACAAAGCCTCGCACATTATAAACTCGCAAATGATCGACTGATTTACCGTAGGGACAGAGTTTCGGTGGTTCAGTATGGTTTACAGTCTAGACATGGCGCGGCCGGCTAAGCGATATTATTAGTATGACGATAGGAATACTTACATTCTTACATAGTATGCATATAAGTATGCACATAAAAAAAAATAAACAAAGGAACAGACACAGACTTGCATGCTAAAAGTCAATATGGCGGCGATTGTATTTCCGCTATGGGAATTCTCAAGCTTGTATGTGCATACATACATATGTATGTACATACCAAAGATGGAAAAGTACGCACAATTGGGCTATTTTCCACCCTTTAATGCCACCAGGGCCTTGAGGCCTAATTGGCAGATATTTGATCCTATTTGATTTAGACAAAACTTGTTTACTTATTTTTATTGCAAAATTAAATTTTTATAGACAGTCGCCAAAATAGAGAACGCTTTCGGAAAGGGATTTTTCAATAAGATCTTACTTAAATTCAAAGTGATGGTTTTTACATGTATTTATATGTTTTACAGAATATTGATTCTCGGTCATCGGGTCGAGATAGAAAATGAAGTAGTATCAATAGTTAGTTATGTATTTCCCTTTTAAGTTTAATGAAACGCGTGGATACGTGGCGTATGAGTAACATAATTTAATGCTCATACAAAAAATTAACTTTCGTATTGGTCTGGATGTTTACAAAAAGTATTAAAATAGTCACCTAAGTGTTAGACACGTATATAAAATTGTGGTCTTAGAAATTTGTCGTTAACTCCTTTGAGAATAACTCCACAAAGATGGAATGAGAAAATATAAAATTGAGTCGAAATCGGTTAAAAAATGTGCCAACATACCGATGAAAAGGCCAAATAATGAAAGAGCTTTTTTTTTTATCTAAACATTTCAGATAATTTAATTGCTTAAAAATCGTGCGATGTGATTAGGTGAGTCGGCTTAAACTTTTGGGCCCCCTCCATGGTGTGACAACATCAAAACCCCAAATGTTATGATTTTACTTATTGATGTGTAAACAACATAGCTCTCGGTGCGGGTAAAATTTGCGGTAACCCGGCAGAAAATTTGTAACTACTTCTTGTGTGTAAAAATGAACATTTATGGACTGGTTATGACAATTTCGGGACTAGTTCGGGATCATATCGTGGCCGTTTCGGGACCTGTTCAGGACTATTTCAGGCTTAGGTCTGGTGCTTTTGAGGCTAGTTCAGGAACACTTTCGCGATCATTTTGGGACTAGTTCAGGACCATGCTAGCACTAGTTCAGGATAATTCTGGAATTAATAATTGACCATTTCGGGATGTTTCCAAGACTTATTCGCGATTATTTCACGACCTTTTCAGAACCACTATAGGACTACTTCATTACAAGAAGTTAACATACCAAATTTCATTTCGTCAAGCTCTCGCTTTCACTTTAATCAAAGCTATTAACACACAATCATTTGAAGAATTTTTTATCGCCTTTTTGCGAACAAATTTTCTATAGCAAGAATACAAAATCCTCATTGCTTTTCGAGAAGCGCATTCAGATAGAAACAACTTTTTCTATAGTTCTTTTTAGTTAGATCTTTCTCGATCACGCAATCAAACCAGCGAGTGCATTTTTTCAACGTGCGAATCTCCTCTTATTGCATCTCTTTTCAGCGAATTTCGTAGCAAACGAATAGAGCGTGTCAGACGTGACAATGCTATGTATATATTTCGAAAAGGCTGTCAAATTGAGCAATTTCAGAAAGCAGTTGCATGAGCAGTCACACCTTGCATATAAAGGGTCTTGCGAAAAAGGTTTTTTTTTTTAATTTTCGAAAGCCGAATTGCAGAAAGCAAATCCGAAATCTTTCAATTGCGGTCACATCTTGCAACTTTTCTTTCTGGAACTGATTTCCGAAATGTGATAGAAAGATATTTCTGGCTGTTCACACATTGAAATAAAATTTCTCTTTATCAATTTGACAGCGAATTGCGTGGAAAAGCTGGAAATATTTGCACGTCTGACACGCTCTAATAACTTGCAGGGTCCCATGGTTGCGAAGGTGTAACTTCCGTGTTTCTCATTTCTTTGACAAAGCTGGAAGAGTGCCGGTGTATAGAAGGCTATCTCTTAATTACATTTCTGTTCTTCACTTATTTCCTCCTATCTTCTGGAAAACGGAAGCTTGACCTACATATATCTTCAATTGGAGCTAATTAGAAAAAAACTGTTTTCCGAATCACTAAGTACAAAACGCTTTTCTTCGCAGCTTTTTTAAATACATATACATCGGCAAAGTTTTTGTATTAAACTTTTTTTTTATTCTAATTTTTATTTAATTGCATGCATTTATATGTACGTATGTGGCTGTGCATATGCGGCATATGTATTGGAAATCGTACCATATTTATATTTTTCTAAAACTGCATAGATACATACATAGACACATAGAAACATACGGTCATCCATTTATTCTGCGTCGAGTTCAATAAACTCTTTTCATATATTTTCATACATACACACATACTTATTTACATACATACATACATATACTATAGGAATACCTAGGTTATTGAGCTTTTCTGCTGAGGCTTTTGTTACTTTTAACTTTCTTATTGCTTTGTTGAAACTGACTTAGTTATGTTGGGCAAAGGTTTGACACGAACATGTCAAGTGGCAATGGAGTGGTTGGAAAACAACAAAAAATGCAATGTAGGCCTCTATATTTAAATACCACTTTCTTTTGCGTTAGCGCTACGCCCTCTCTTTAGCTCCCACTCCAACAATCAAAGCGTTCGAATTTTATTTGCAGCCGGCATTTTATTTAAGGGTATTTTTCCATGCAGCAAACCGCGTAAAGATGCACCTAATTTGATAACATTTTATTAGTGCTGTACTAAAATATTAATTTCCTAGCTACTTCAATAGTGTAATACAAATAAGATCATATATATACATATGGAACTCTATCCTTTGCGTTTCACTCCAATCTTGTTAGCTGTATACTTTGAACTTAGTAGAGTATGTTTGTTAATAATGCCGAATACACATGCGGCAACCGTTGAA